ATGTATGTGTGTATGAGTACATGTATGTATGTATGTGTGTATGAATACATGCATGGATGTATGTGTGTATGAATACATGTATGGATATATGTGAAGCGGCGAATTCGAATGGGTGATAACCATAGACTCGACGAGGGTATCAAGGGCTGGACATGTGATTTCTGTCAGTGCATACTTCTTTCAAAGGCTGGCTGGGTGACTGATGTGAAGTCACATAAAGAAAAAAAAAATCACCCTTGACATTTGCCAGACACAGAGTGCCACAGCCTGCACGCTGTGTGACAAGGTATGCACAACCATCTCCGGACTGAAAAGGCACATCAGTGGTGCGCAGGACTCAGGCCCAGCGGTGTGAACCCATCAAAGCTGTGGCAAGCGCATTGTCCGTCTGTCACTTGTCTAACAAGTCATGCAAGTCCGCGGCCGGCCTGGCAAGTGAACATCGGGGGTCATGCTAGGGAGAGGTGACGCGTGGGGAGCGAACGTGATCAGGCGGCCATCATCTGTGAAGATGCGGTGGATCATCATCATCATACGTATATATGTATGTATGAATTCATGTATGTGTCAATGTATGTGTGCATGAATACGTGTATGTATGTACGAATTCATGTATGTGTGAATGTATGTGTGTATGAATACGTGTATGTATGTACGAATTCATGTATGTGTGAATGTATGTGTGTATGAATACGTGTATATATGTACGAATTCATGTATGTGTGAATGTATGTATATATGAATACATGTATGTATGTACGAATTCATGTATGTGTTTAATGTATGTGTGTATGAATACGTGTATGTATGTACGAATTCATGTATGTGTAAATGTATGTGTGTATGAATACGTGTATGTATGTACGAATTCATGTATGCGTGAATGTATGTGTGTATGAATACGTGTATGTATGTACGAATTCATGTATGTGTGAATATATGTATATATGAATACATGTATGTATGTACGAATTCATGTATGTGTTTAATGTATGTGTGTATGAATACGTGTATGTATGTACGAATTCATGTATATGTAAATGTATGTGTGTATGAATACACGTATGGATGTACGAATTTATGTATGTGTGAATGTATGAATACATGTATGTATATACGAATTCATGTATATGTGAATGTATGCGTGTATGAATACATGCATGTGTGTACGAATTCATATATATGTGAATGTATGCGTGTATGAATGCATGTATATGTGTACGAATTCATGTATATGTGAATGTATGTGCGTATGAATACATGTATATATGTATGTATGCATGTATGTGAGGAAATGAGACGTAAAGAAGAATGGAAATAAATGTATTTGGAAAAGAAATAATTAAAGCGGAAGACAGAAAGAAAATGAAAGAGATTAAAAACCGAGGAAAAGAGATAAAAGAAAAGAAAAGGAAAATGAGAAAGAAATAAAATAAGAAGAAAGGTTGAAGCTGGAGAGGAAGAAGAAAAGAAAACTGGGTAAAATAAGAAAAACGAAGAGGAAGATCGAAAAAGAAAGAAAAAAAGAAAGTAAAAGAAAGGAGCAACAAGTGGGATAGAGAAAAAAAAGCAAGTAAAGAAGGAAAAGAAAGGAAAAGCTTAAAAAAGAAAGCAACGAAACGAAACAAAAAAAAAACGAAGAAAAAACCAATGGAGGAAAAAGCAGATAAAGAAAAATGAAAACAAAAATGACAAAAGAAAGAAAAACGAGGAAAGAAAAGAAAAACAGAGACGCCATGATTATTTGTAAAGTTGAGTACTAAAAAGAAGTTTAAGTCTAACAGAATAAAAAGAAAAGAAGGGAAAAAAACATGGAAGAGAGGAACAACAAACGGATGAGAATGACGAAAAGAAATAAAGAAACATAGAAAAATGAAATGATTTAAGGAAGGAGAAAAGAAAGAAAGAAAGAAAAAAAAAACAAAGTGTATGAGGGAGGGGAGATAAAGAAAACCAAAAATAAAATAAAATGAAAGAGCAAGAGAAATGAAGGAAAAACGAAATGGAGAAAAAGAAAAAAAGGTATATAAAAAAAAAGGAAGGGAAATAATAAAAACGAAAAACAGAAGATATAAAAAAAGAAAATAACGAAGAGAAAAGATGAAATAGTCTAAAAAGGATAAAAGAGAAAGAAAAAAAAATGGAGTTAAAACAGAGTATCAAAATAAAAAAAATAAAAAAACAAATAAAAAAACAGAAAACCAAAAGAAATTGAAAGAAAAAAATTAATGGAGAAGAAAGTAAGAAGACGGTGAGAAAGAATGGCAAGTAGAAAGAGAGAAAAGAAAAGGTAGAAGTGAAAAATATAAAGAATAAATGAAAATAAGAAAATGGGAAAGAAAGAAAGAAGAAAGAAAAAGAGAAAGGAAATCAAAAGGAAGAAAGAAAATGAGTGAAAAAAAAAATAGCAAACGAAAAGAAGAAAAGAAAAACGAAAGAAAGAAAGAAAAAGGATAAAAATCAATAAAAATAAACAGAAAAAGTAAAACCGGAAGAACATTGTCTGATCTACAGACATCTGTCAGCTTTCATTTTTCCCGCCAAACCGGGTCGATCGCTCAGGATAGTGGATCAGTTGATTCGACCCTTTTGAATCAATATGTCCTTTAATTCCTGTTCGTTTTTGTGAACTGTCCAACTCTCTCTCTCTCTAAAACACACACACACTCACACACATATATATGAATGGCATATTCTTTTTCTTATGTATAAGCGTGCACCATTTTAAATACGTTTAAAAGAGCTATGTAATACAAATAAAAATGAGATTTTCAATATTAAATAAAGATATATTTTTTCCTCAATGAGACTCATAGACTTAAAAGGCAGTATACAACTTTGCTTAATTGACGTCACTCTTTGTGACCGAGTCGGGTAAAAGCACGACAGATCTAACGACGTCTTCTCCTTTTAAGGGGCGCATTTTTTTTTTAGTCTAATGTGATTTCTCATTAGCGTAAGTAAATGGGGAAAAAAAAAAAGGATAAAATATGGATATACTGGACAATATAGAGCAACTCTCTGCGGCTTCTCGGTCTCACGTTGACTGCTGACCTGAGATGGAATAAATACATCGAGTCAATTGCCTCGTCCACTGCGAGGAAAGTTGGCTCCCTGAGCCGCACTAGGAAGTTTTTCTTCCCGGAGTCGATCCTCCAGATCTACAAATCCACAATTCGCCCTTGCATGGAGTATTGCTGCCATATATGGTCTGGCGCCCCTTCTGTTTGCCTCGGGGTTCTTTATAGGCTACAGAGGCGGATATGCAATATGGTTGGCCCTGCCCTGGCGTCTCGTCTACAGTCACTTTCTCACAGACGCGCCGTCGCCTCCCTCTGTCTGTTCTACAAATACTTTCATGGAAATTGCTCCGAGGAGCTGCATTCGCTGGTTCCCAGATGTCATGAGTTCCAGCGCCCTACGAGGCTGGCATCCCGCTCTCACCCCTTCACTGTCGAAACTCCTAAATGTAGCCGTCTCTTCTACTCTAATAGCTTCATGTCTCGCACCTCTCGCCTGTGGAACTCCCTTCCCTTCTCCTGTTTCCCTGTGAGCTATAATCTCCAGCTATTCAAGTGTAATGCCAATCGACATCTCCAGTTGCCTTGATCTATCCACTACCCTCATCCTTTCTTCTATCACTCCTATCTGATCTTGCTATAAATTTTCTGTAACCCCTTGCGTCCTAGTGGCTTCCCGCCTTGCTTTGGGTGAAATGCTTAAAAAAAAAAAATAGTCTTCGTTGGCTATCAGTCTAAGGGAAAGAAAACCCTGAATTCAAACCTGGAGATGACATGCAAAGAATCGATGAGATACTTATAGTAGCTAACGGCCGACATTCTGTTAAGAGGTGAACTTCCACTTAAAAAAGGTCTGCGATCGTAGCATCATCTAACGTTTGGCACATAGCGGCGCCAGCACTGGACATGGTGCTATGATAGAGAGATGCAATTAATCACTTTAAACAATTCACTTGTGCAAGTTGTTCAATAAAAATATAACATTTATTGAACACATATTCGCCGTTCATATATATATATATATATATATATATATATATGTGTGTGTGTGTGTGTGTGTGTGTGTGTGTGTAGAAAAATAGGAAAGAACACGTTAGGTAAGTAGTCCAGGGTTCTTTAGTATTTTTGTTTTTATTTTCAAAAAACAGTGCTCCATACAGAAGTAGAGCTTAGATTATAATTATTTTTTTTTAAATATAAGTCCTTCGCTACATAAGAGTTCTCATGTTTCAAAAACGAGGGCCGAAACCATCCAAATAATTATTAAAATTAAATTGAATTAAGATAACAAGCACTGTTTCATCCTCAAGCAAAAATTTAGGAATAACCAATTTAGAAATTTACGTATCGTTATAAGCGTGTTCATACGTTGCTATGGAAACCGCTGGGGTGTTAGATTTAATATATATATATATATATATATATATATATATATATATATATATATATATATATATATATATATATATTCAAGCATGTTTGGTTAAATAATTTTTAGTCTTAATGCTTTCAATTCCACGAATTAATTTCTTGGTTGCTGTAGAAAACTGATTAAGAAAAAAATCTAACATTTTCAATGCTTTCCACATTTGCCATGTAAATTACGCATGACATAGAAAATGTTTGTTTTAGATTATTTCAGTTAAGTGGATGAAATCTGCGACAAACTAGGTCTGCAAAATAAATAGGCTTTTGCAATTTAGCCAATAGTTTCTTCATATGATTCCATCCTAAATTGGCATTCGAACAACTTTTGATACAAAGATTGTTTGTGAAGGATTGAAACTTTAAAAGGGAAAAAATCCCAAAGATCCTCTTATTAACCCCTGCTTTACAGTTAACGTGAGAAGAGGGAGGTGGGGGTCGTTCATGCGTTTGCACTTGCAGTTCAATCAGGCTCTGACACTTCATACCTGTTTTTGTTTGATTATTAGATTTGTGAACAATGCCATACTATTTGAAAGTTATTACGGACATAGGAAATTTACTGAATATCTAAAACATTGGAACAATTTAACCCCCAGCAACGACCGCATAAGAAGTTTTTTTATCGATGGAATTGTTTTATTAAGAATAATCAAAAACTTACGAAAGACATATCGTAAAATAGATGAGTGGGGAGTAGCTTAGTATACCAACAGTTGATGCATGCAAGCGAGGAAGCAGGCAGACATTTTTAGTCAGGTGGGTGCGGGTATAAAGTGGAGTGCGGTTAAACAATTGCAACCCTGTGCACACGGGCAACGCAGGGTACCTCGTCTAGTATATATATATATATATATATATATATATATATATATATATATATATGTATGTATGTATATATATATAATTATTTATTTAAAAATATGATTCCAACGCGCTATATAAGAGTTCTCATGTTGAATTAAAGTAAGCTCTGTTCCATCTTCAAGCGAAATTTTTTTAAATAAAAAAATAAAAAAAATAAATCTCCATAGATACGTAAACTATACTAGGCGAAATCATCTTGCGTTTTAAATTTAGACACCCCAACCTTACCTTGACTTGACATCTATGAATGTAACTCTATACAAATTATTAACGCCCCACACCCCTTTCTATTTAAACAATCGCTCTAGCCGTTACCATGGAAATTTTGATTTCAATAATGAATATGCTATTACAACACGAAAATTTAAGAAATAAGTTATTCCCAAAAAAATTTCGCTTGAAGATGGAACAGAGCTTACTTTAATTCAATTTAATTCAAATAATTATATTGAAGTTTTCGGCTCTTGTTTTGAAACATGAGATCTCTTATGGAGCGTGTTGGAATCATATTTTTAAATAAATAATTATATTTATGCTCTACTTTTGTATCGAGCACGATTTTTTAAAAATAATAACAAATATACTAAAGAACTTTGGATTATTTACCTAACGAGTTCTTTCCTATTTTCTATATATTTTCATATATATATATATATATATATATATATATATATATATATATATATATATATATAAAAATATATATATATATAATAATAAAAAAAAGTCTTAAACACTAGTACTCCATGGTTTAATTTATTACATTGGAATCTTACGATTCCAATGTAATAAATTATGACCATGGAAATAGTAGTTTAAGACTTTTATTATAACCTTACTCTGTCCTGGACATTGAGTTCTACCTGGATTCTATCCTCTTGGTTTTTACACACACACACACACACACACACACACACACACACACACACATATATATATATGTGTGTGTGTATATATGTATATATATATATATTTGTGTGTTTTAGATATATGTATATACATGTATGTGTATATTAACCATTAATATTATCTATCTATCTATCTATCTATCTATCTATCTATCTATCTATCTATCTATCTATCTATCTATATATATATATATATATATATATAATTATTTATTCGAAAATTATAACATAAACATGTTATAAAATCACTACAAAAATAACCATATTGTTTCAACACCTCTGGTGTCTTATCAAGTGATGGTGTTGAAAGTAGAATAAAGTGTTTTAAAAGGTTCAAATGAACCAAACACCCCTCGCTAGGGGAAACGCTGTTACATAAACTGCAATGACCAATTAAAATACAAGTATATGAGAATTCAAAAAACTTTACAAGGGACTTTAAGGTTATAATAATTATTTAATGCTTTAATGTTGGGATTAGACTAAAGTAGAATTCATTCTCACTAATAAATATTAAATTATACTATAAAATTAAAAATTAAAAATTACCAATTTTAAATTTTAAATTGAAACTATATTAATTTTTAAATTATAAAGTTAGAAATAGAGGGAAAAATACATGTTTTTCTATTCATTTTGTTTTTATTGAAATTAAGTTGGAATAAACGTTAAGATCAAATGTTGCACTGAACTTCATGACAACGTAGATACATTTGAAGAAAATATGAGCAAGGGAGGATGAAATCTTGAAAAAGACAATACATACACAATCAGATTATAATGCATAAACACGCTAAAAGCGACGAGACAGGAAATAGGTGTCCACGAGCCTTAAAAAAAACCCAAAAAAAAACGACAACATACATATACAATGAAAGATACACACAAGTGACCATACACACAGACACAGCGACAAAGACACGTACATACACGCATATACATTGAAAAAGACACGCCGATACACCCAACAAGAAATATTCAAGTGTTATTAAACGAATTCTATCCTCTTATTAAAATATAAGTTATATGGGCAAAGATACAGAGATAAAAATGGTAAAATAGATAAAATCCAACATGGGCTGAATAGAATTCGGATATTAGGGAAAAAGGACCTTAAAACATATAGACATGGACAGAACAAGAGATATATACGTATAAAAATTAAAACCATCTAATATATAAAAACGAAAACTCCAAACACACAAATATATATATATAAATATTCCATATATACCTATATACGCACTAGTGCACATACACGAGTACAAAAATATAGCAAT